GTGAGGTTTTCTACAATGAGCAAGAAAATAAGAATAGCAGTGAAATATATAAAAACATATACTCATTGGGAGCAGGAGAACAGGAAAAAATCTAGTTTGATGCAAGACTTTCTCATGTAGATTATCTCCAGTCGACTATGTGATTGAACATATATTGCAATATTTCCCCTCAACAGAAGGGACTAAAGGGATCTCATATTTATCTAAATGCTTATGTTTGCAATATTCTTAATGACAGGATAACTTGGAAAGCTTTATCACTCTGTCTCATTTGGTTTTATTTAACCAACATGATATGAAGTTCCAAGGTTTATGTATAGACTATAAAACCAAGATTACAAAACTATAAGACCAAGCTAACTTTCTGCTAAGGATTTAAGTATCTAAGACACTGCATAGAATATGACAACAGTAGGCTTCACTGAAATATTTGTGGTAAAAGATAAACAACACTACAGAAAGCACCATTTTTATTCAGCTACTAAGTGTAAACAAAATGGTGATGGTTAATTACATGTGGTGCATCCCACGCAACAGCATATCCACTTGAAATGCCATTTTTTTAAACTTTTCCAATCTGTGTCATTCCCAATAGAATTTTTCTTTTCCTGAACCATTCTTGGACATGACTGATTTATCTGAATTAGGCAATAACAGGTGCACACAAACACTCATACATGTGTGCACATACCTATATAAATTATGACAAGAAATCAAATATTCTTTCCTGTCAGGTAGCAGAGAGTCACACTTTGTGACTGTCTATTCTGGTACTAAAGATTAAAATCCACCTCAGCAAATTTGCCATCCTAGATGTTTTTCAGCGCTGCTTTTGATTTAGGGAACAATGTGGCTTTGGGAAGAGCTACAGAGTAAGGTTCAGGTTTTCTTCTCTCTCCCACCTATTCTGAATTGCCTAGGAATATGTCACTTGTAATGAAGCAAAAAACACATTTGTATGGTTTTATGAGCAACTTATACATAACTTTGCCAGTTTTCATAAAAGAAAAAAAAAAGCCGTTTTTTTAAAGCATCAGAGCAAATAAAGATGGTAAAATGTCAAACTAAATCAAATCTCAATTCCATACATGGTAGAAAAGTACCAGCAAAACTTCCCTGAATAAAAATATGCTGTACAGTCCCATATACATGCAAAAATGGTTAAACATAAAAATAAATGCCATGGCAAATGTCTGATCTGTTTACAGCTGGCGATATCCTTTCATGTGTCATACTAGGTACTTGAAAGTACAAAAAAAAGTAAATAATAAGACATGGAGATCAAGAAATTGTAACTTTTAGGAAACAGGAAAGACCTAGATCTGAAATTTCCTGCAGTTTATAGCTCGTGTAATAAAAGTTTTCAGTTCATTCCATTCAAATATCAGGATATTAATCACCTGGAATCTCATATCATGTCAGACTTCCCATAAATGCTTGATGTCAAATGTTATGTTATTAATTTTTATAAATTTTCTCATGGAAAAGGATTTTATTTCATATGCTTCTGGAAGGATATGAAGAAGATCTATAGGCCTTCCCTAATGTTTGCAGTTTAGGGGAAAAAAAAAGTGAAATAAAGCTAAATAAATGGATTATTTTATACTTTGCCAAAACAATTGCTTGAGTGTTGCTAGGATCATTCTGTTCCCTGATCTTCTGAGAGCTGAGAGATCTTAGAATGAGAGAGAAAAATAATTGCCTCAGAACCACTAAAGACTGAATAACATTTCCTTTAGTTTCCATGAAGCTGTCCTGAACAACAGTCAAACAGAAACCCCCACAACACCAGTGAATATTATGATTTCCGGAACGAGTCCTAAAATATCTGCAACTGGAGAGTCTGAAGAGCACTCAGGCTACACAAAATCAAAGCTGCAGATGTTGCCATGATGCCATGAGCATTGAGGTGGCCAGTTTTAGCTTTATTTTTCCTCCTTGACCTGTATTAGAATTGCAACCCAGGGTAGGATGCCATCAAGAAAGTACATTTATCCAGGCAATAAATACCACCTTGCTCTCTATTTACATCACTTTTTTATATTGTGGAAAATCACAACCATGACCCTTTTCTTTTGATGACACAAACCTGCTCCATCATCATTTCCACTAAAACTCCATTTCTAATATAAAATGTCTTTAAAGAATCTACAATATTTTTAACATTTGTTATGCAATCAATACATTAAAATGTTCCTCATATAACTATATTAAGACTATATTGAGCCCATACTGAAGTTCATTATTTCAGTCAATTAATCTCAATGCTTTGAAATGTACATTTTGGCTCAAAGATATTGATTTTGAAGTTGTAATTCCATAAATGGCTTGTGAAAAAAATAAAAAAGAAAAATAACTTTTTGTTTTTAGAACTTGTCTCAAAGCTTTATTTTGGAAACTACATTTTTCTTTGAAATATATAAAAGATGACTCTTCAGAGAGATTTAAAAACTCAGACCAAAAGAAGCATTTTATTTCAGATAGAATGGAAATGTATTGTTCAATATAAGCTTTTTTGGGGTGGTAATTTTGAAGTAATGACATATTTTATTTAAAACTTAACTGTTGTGGGGTTTTTAATATTTAAGATCAGTCTGTCCTTTCAAATATTAATTATTTTTATAGCTCTACTTGAACTATATATCTTTTATTTTCCCATAGCACAGTCAGTATCAGCATTGATTACAAATTAATATTTAATGGAAATATTATTCATATTAATGTTGTTTATAAGTATATTTAATTTTATGATGGCAGTTCTTGTTTCCTTTTTCTTATTCAATTGAGTGATAGGTCACATCTGTGAATAAAGTTGCTTTTAGGATTCAGAACTACTTTGAACACAGAACTGTTTAAACATTAATGTTGCTCAACTCTATACCACAGCTTTAATATAACTAACCTCTAATACGCCTGGAGAAAATCCAGTCATTGGATAGTGGTAAGCAATGAGCTTGTATTTAAAAGTATTCACCTTGAGTCCTGTGTGCAGTTTTGAGCACCATGATATAAGGATATAAAGTTACTAGGGAGCATCCAGAGGAGGACTGTGAAGATACTTAAGTGAAGTGGAGAAGTCATATGAGGAGTGGATGAAATTACTTGCTTTGTTCAGCCTTGAGAAGAGGAGTCTGGAGGAAGACCTCATTGCTGTCTGCAACTTCCTCTTGAGGGGAAACACTAGCACTGATCTCTTGTTTGTGCTGACCAGTGGCAGGATCTGAGGGAATGGCCTGAAGCTGAACCAGGAGAGGTTTAGGCTGGATGTCAGGAAAAGGTCCTTCACCCAGAGGGTGGCTGGGCACTGGAACAGGCTCCCCTGGGAAATGTTCACAGCACCAAGCCTGACAGAGTTCAAGAAGCGTGTGAACGATCCTCCCAAGCACATGGTGTGACTTGGCGTTATGCTGTGGAGAGCCAGGAGCAGGACCCAGTGATCCTTGTGAATCACAGAATCATAGAATATCCTGAGTTAGAACTCAATAATGTTCCTTCTAGCTCAGAATATTCTATGATTTTATGATTCTTTGATCTATCTTGTGATCAGTCAGCTCAGATACTCTTGAATTTAGGAAATGTTCCTGTGTGGATACAAACTTGCACAGCACAGCCTTTCCATATGCTGTTTAAAAGCATCTGCAGACAGAAAAAGCTTAACTTTTTTTTTTTTTTTTTTTTTTTTTTTTTTTTTTTTTTTTTTTTTTTTTTTTTTTTTTTTTTTTTTTTTTTTTTTTTTACTGTGAATGTCAGCACTGGCTGGTAGATGTTATTCAGTCTCTATCTGTGACAGGCTGCCCTGCTCCTTGTGTGAGGGGGCGTTAAAGCACATTCTTGCAGCATGGAAAGAGGTATTACAGAAATTACCATAAAAAAGTAGCTGTCCTCAAGCACATATAGTTGGGTTGCAGACCTCCATTTAAACCACCCTGAAGCAAAACTGCAGATGTTTTTATGGTTTTCTTCTAGCACCTTATTATAAAAGATGAATCCTTTGCTCTCCCTTATTAACAGCTAATCTGACCCTGTGTATCCAGTGTGAAAACCACGGAAGAGATTGATTAAAAACATAAAGGCTTTATTTTGACATACTGGAAAGCAGGGAAGGACTCACTGAACTGAGAGTCCTTAGGAATGTGTCACATCCAATGGCCAATAGTACCATGCAAAATTATTGTCCAAGGCTGTCAGAATCTGTGGTATTGATTCCAAGATTGTAAGAAGTCTCTGTCTTTCTGCCCTGTTGCCAAAGAAGAAGTCATAATTCGTCTGTGCTGGTTTTCAAGGTTGTTTATTCTTGCTTATCTCTAACATGTTCTGCTGCCCTGCCGCAGGTCTGTCCTGCAGGGCAGCGTGTGGGGCTCTGCCCTCAGTGGGATGCTACAAACATTAAATACCAGAAACTACCTGTGCTGTATTTACAATAATGTGCCAATATCTATCATCTACGTTGAACAGTGTGTTCCCAGCCTAAACCAATAGAAAAATGTCAACACTACAGTGAAACATGGAGGGCATGAAGAAGGAGGAAAAGGACAAGACACACCCAATTTCCTCCATCTTGTCCCCTTTGAACCCCTAATCTAGAATCCTAAAATTTTACTTTTGCAGCCGTGCCACACTTAATTATTACTTATATCAAACACTCAGAGCCTGTAATTCATCCTGTAAGATTGAAAACTCTTTTCCATGGACAGAGATCACAGACAGTGTCTCTCGGGGCTCTGTCCAGGGGGGTTCCTACACCCCCTTTCAGCAACCCAAGCCCTCCAGGGCAGCCAGAGGGAAGCCCTGGATTCCCACACAAGACAATCAAACAAAGCATTACAAGAAGACAAATGTACACTTTTCTTTTTCTTTTCCAGAACTGCATAAAAAAGAAAAAATAATGGAATCTGGTGAATATTCTCTCATTTTTATCTTACTCTTAAAAAAATCTAATATTTTAAATTAATTCTTGTCAAAAGTTAATATTTGATATTTTTTTAAATTTGCTTTTACAGGCAAAATAACAAAGAAAGAAACAAAAGTACATGGTAAGTCCTGTAAAAGACTGTAAGTTTCAGAGTCTCATTTATCTGGTTTGATTTTCAGTTAAGATAGGATTATGTAGAGGGATAAAAAAATAAATCCATTAATATAATTTTGCTGGTTTAATTAAAGTTACTTAAGCAATTGAATGGATGTGGAGCAGCAACCATTCAGTCTTCTGGAATTGAGATCTAATTAAATGCTGAGAAGAACAGGAAGGAAATAAATCTTTATTTTAACTTTTAAAAGGTCTCTCTTTTCAAAGAAAGTTACAGTAAATGGATGGAAAACAAACACAAAATACAAGATTCAGAATGTGGAGGGTAGGAAAAAAGTAGGCTGTTTAATATTTTTATGCCAAGGACTCATGCATTTTATTGTTGCAGCAAGCTGCTCTTGCTCTCAAGTGGAACACACTTCTCCAGTTTATCCAAATTTGGGGGAGCATAAGAATTTTCTCCTTTTACAGCCAAGCCTGATGACTCATTCATCAGATGACTTTATTTTCTCAGATACAAATTTGGAGCAAGAAATACCTACAGTAGAAAGTCAATTTGTAGAAAAATGAATCTGTCCTTTTCTATAACATAAAAACCTGTCAAAGTGCTTCAGAATGAAGGTGTGAATAATGAAAAAGAGAAATGTTGTAGTTCCATTAATTTGCTTTTAGTTAATGCATTCGTGAAGAACAGTAAAGAAATAAAACTGAAAAAACTTATATAAAGGAAGAATTTTGAAACTGGATCCTCCTCTGCATCAATTCTAGAAGTTTCAATGAACTCAGAACAAAAAAAAAAAAAAAAGTGAACAAATTCCTAACTTCTGCAAATCACTGAAATTTTAAAAAAAACCTTTTCTATTGCATACTTTCTACCTATGTTTAACATATGCACATCCTAGAGGCTATTTTACTTCTTGCCTCATCCTGACACTTGAAAATAGCAGAGCTATTGAAGTTCCATATATTACTTATCTATTGGCCTTGTTTTCGACTGCTTTTAATCTGCAGGTTAATTAATCATCTGCCATGAGACTAAACAAGCAATACATGTGTGTGTCAGTTTTTGTCTACATAAAAAATGAAATCCTGCTCTGCATAGATAAGTAGCACATTGACAAAAGGAAGAGGTGTTAGGATAAATTTAATTCCTTTATTCATTTATTCAATTTGTTTCTGTGAATGTTTTATTTTACAGCAGCTGTGGAAACTCCAAAGTCAAAAGGTGAGTAATTTGATTGGTTTTGAAAATTGAAATGGAAGAATGCTGCTGTTAACTTTACTGTAATGAAAAGAAAAGCTGCTTGTGAAAAAGACTTTTAACAATATGACTTATTTGAAACAAACAGCCTTTTAAATTCTAATTGTGTTTTCCTTGCAGCATCTCAAAGCAGGCATCTTTTCCTCAGATTTTTCATGGACTAACTGTAATTCTCCAACAATCTGACATTCACTTTCTAACCCTAACTCAAGCCATAGGGCTTTTGTTACAGGCAGAAAGGAGAAGTAACCAGTCTTCTACAGAGGCATGACACAAAGCAATATTTCTCTTTTTGCCATTCTAACTGCGGGACAAAACCAGTGACTGAACAGTTGTTTTCTTTAAGGAGTCTAGGGAGTTTTGCAGGGAGGTTTGGTGTAACAGGCTTTGAGTACCTTTCATACACGAACTGTGGATGGCAGAAGGTAGGAGGTGTGAGAGCATCAATGCTTGCCTCAAAGGTTCCTCCTTTCCACGAGACACAGGGAACTGGAACTGGTAAGAAACATCAAGGATGTAAATTCAAACTGAGCAAATGTAGCAAATATTTAATTGTTTCACATCAGTGTCTGGTTTTTATAGACATACAGTGTAAGTTACTAGCTCCAAATTTCCCTCAAGAACATTACAGATTTCAGCTGTAACTTAAAAAAATGGAAAATGGAATGCCAGGTTACAAACTGTCCATCACTTGTAGTCAATATTTATTCATATCAATGGCCACCATACTTTTATAAGCATTCTCTTTCAGACAAATGGGAAGAACAAAAAGTTTTAGGAAGTTCAGTTAATTAAGGATAAGTAGAAACAATGGGTTTCCATTATATAATAAAGTAATAATTCTGTTATTTCTGTTGTTAAAAGAGTAGTCTCATAACTGAAGGTGTTGGTCTCTGCCACATTAGTTTTGCTATAGGATCAACATAATATTGAACCTGAAATTGATCCCCAGTGTATAAGTAATGACAACTTTGTTTTATTCCTCATTAAATAAAAATGAGCTGATTTTAACTCTGCAGAAATTGTTGATTTCTTAAAAATTTCTTGTTAGCAAGTCATCTAAATTTGAATTTATGTTGCTAATTTTGAAACTCAAACATAGCCTGCACTCCAGGGGGAAAATCATATTTATATGAAAATGTTACAGCTGTTCCTTTTGCCACTTAGCAAGAATCACAAAGGAATGTTGTTATTTTCTTCTATATTCTTTTGTGATGCAGACAAATTCTTGTATGCAGTAGTGTTTAATAGTAGTCATTAAGTAGTGTTTAACCTCTTTTTTAGTCTGAAGAAAAAAATATCTTTTCAATTCATATTTCTTTGTTCTACATTGTTGTTATTTATTTTTTATGCTTCTCATTTTTCTCCTGTTAGTCCTTAGAGACTTAGCAGCTCTCTGGACACAATGTGATTTTCAGTATTCAGTAGGTGTTGGCAAGTGTAAAATTTTTTTAGCATACTCATGGAAGGCAAGCGATTCTCTTCTGAAAAAAGCAAGGCTTTTGATGAAATTATCTTCTTTGGTAATTAAACATAAATAATCTGCTGGCATAGAAGGAGCTGTGGACGTTCCCACTACCCTGTACTTCTTATGAACTATCAAATACACATGGAGCTTTCTTGCATTTTCTCACAAGCCACTACAACATAATTTTTTTAAAATTTCTCCATATAACAGAACAGTTCCTAAACCATAGCATACACTTCTTAGGTTAATGATTTCTTGATTTTTGTGATGTCACAATGAGGAGCTTCTGACCTCAGGGTTCAATAAGTGAAATGTTTTTTGTTTCCAGTGGGAATGATTTCTTTCAGTCTTCCATCACACTGAGCAAATATCTCAAAATAGCTTTAAAATCAGTGACATTTTAGAATGCATATTTTTGATGTGGATGCTAGTTATGCAACCTGTCTCTTTTGGGATAAAAATATTCTGACATATTTGATTGTAGCCTACAGCTATTGAGACTGCACAAATATTTGACTGATGAATTGCTCTCCTAGACACTTTCAGCATAAAACAATATCTGCTGAATTGTCTCTCATTTGTTTCCTAAGAGCTTATGATGGAATCAGAGAAACAATGATAAAGTAAATTGCCCATTTGATTTACATTATGTCAAGTTGTCAATAATTTTGCTGAGAAATTAAAAAATAGATGTGGGAATATTTCTCCATTTGTTTAATAAATTTTTAAAACTATATTTTACTGAAAATATAGATCCCTGATGAATTCTTGATTTTACCTGAGGAGAAAATTATAATACATTACAACATTCATATTACCTAAGTCATATGGCTAAAAGATCAGCTTTTCAAATAGGGAATACCTGGAACAGGATCATTTTTCACAAAGAGATCATCTTTCAGACTGCCATTCAGAAGTGGCAAGAACTTTGAAAATGCCCAGTGGAAGAGATGACATCTTGACCTACTAAGAAACCTTATCTCTGTTCTGATAGAAACAGAGACAATCAGATCTTCTGAATCTTATTCCAAACACTGACTCTAAACGGATTGGCTTCCTGTTTATGGAGACTTTCAAAGTGACAACTATTACCTTGAGAATAAAAGACCACACAGCATCACCAAAAGAGCTCATGCCTCTCTTCTGAAAAAGCAAAAGGAATAACAGAATGTCCTGTTTGTCCTCCCAGATACTGCTCTGCCATGTCTAGATAATGTTACTTGGCAGTTCCCAAAAGTTACTGGAGCTCTGTTCTGTCTCAGCAAGTTCTTTAAAAGCACTCACTCATGGAAGTGGTGGTGTATTGGTGGATTCACTGAAAGCCAGAATGCTGTTACTATATCTATAGCTGGTTGTTATAGCAGCCTCGATATTTCTCAAGGAATGGATGTTCCTTCATGATAACCACACTTGTGGTCTACCACCAGAACATACTTTTGATGACTAAACATCTGATTTTCTCAGAAAGCTGCATTGCTTTTCTAGCCTGCAGTTCAGTATCCAGAAAAAAATACCTTTATTCCATTAATATTCTGGATTTCAGAGATTTTACAAACCAAAATTCCTTTTATTTCAGCTAAAAAGGATAAAAATGTTTTGAAAAAAACAATTGTTCTCAATAACTCATTTAACCCTTGTGTCATAGCTGCTTTTGCAGTTTTAATGTAAAAATATATTTTGAAATTAGTACGGGACAGGTTTCTGGTGTCCCTTTTAATATATTTCTTTCCATATTCAAATAGGCTTATTCTCCAAGATACTGACCACTTCAGGAAGCATTTTAGAAGGACTGTGGTATTGATTTGCTCAGTGCTCAGTATAATCTTGTCTTATCCTCTGATAAGCCTAGTTCATGGTTAGTATAAGTAGTACTGCTCATCTGGGCCCAGTTAACTTGGATAACAATAGTACAGGTCTACAATAAGTATTAAGGGCCTTTGGTTCTTTTAGACTTTCTCTAGTACCAATAAGAAATTAGATACTTAGAAAAAAAGGGAGTATTCCATTTCTATCCTTGAGGATTCTATCCTGAGTCAGACATATTTTAAACCTAGATTTTATTTTCAGGAAAATTGAAGATTATCTTCAATAAAATAAGTTCCCTGAGATAACTGAGGTACAGAAGTGCAATATTTCACTATTTACATGGAGCTTGCTCACAATCACATGCTCATATCACAAGGGAGTAATTGATGCCTGTGAGTGGGTTTATCCCACTCAACATGAAGCAGTTAATCTATTGATACCTGACTTTTCACTGAATATCAGATTCAGGGAATCTGTGAGCAGAAGATCATTCCTTTGGCCCCCAGCAGACATTGCAGACAGAACACAGCTTATTAACTGAGCTGATCTGCTTGAGCCATCATGCCTAGCAGCTCCAGAATGCTCTTGAAAGGATATCCTGGTGGCACCCCTGGGGCCAGATTTGCAGTCCAGGCAGAAGGGAAGCAGTGAGAATACATGGAGGCACTTTATAGGTCCTTTGAATTCCCTGACTTTCTCAGGATAAATAATGATAACAGAACATGACCCTCAGAATTTATCTTGTCTCTAAAAGCCAGACTCATAATTTTCAACTGTGATTTGTTCTAATAAAATGATAGGATGAAATAACAAGATGAGATTTTGTTATAGTGCTAATGACCCCAAAGCTGCATATATTTTCTATACCCATCAGATGTAAATTAATTTTCATTGTCCACTTTACATCCTGCCACTTATGCTGATTGTTCTTTACACTACTTTCAAACAATGAGAGTGAAACTTATTTTCTTAATGCCACATTTTTTGACTCGAACACTGTAAGGCGATAGCCTTTTAAATTAAAGCAAGGATTTTATTTATCATAATAATTACAAGTTATGGCTACAAAAACTTGGTTTCACAGAAGTGAAGTGTTGGAAGTGCCACTTACAGCTAAAAATGTACATTTATCAATTTACAATATTTAACCCCAAATAATTCAATTAAATAAGAAATATATATATTATCTTAAACATATAATCTTGTATATCACCAAACCTGCATTGTAAATTGTCAGAAATTATAAAAGATACCCATAATTATGTGAGCAAAGTCTAATAGCACCCCTTCTTGCACCACCTCTTCTTAGGTAGTTTCATACTTAATATCCCTTGTCTCCCAAGATGTGTAAATTAATTTACAAACTGTGCTTACCAAGCTTGTGAATAAGCAATTGGATATGTCCATGCATCCTGACTTGGGCTGCTCAGCTGCTTCCCCTGGTGTCAGTAAAGGCTAAGCAGCCCTGCTTCACAAGTGGTCTGGTCCACATTTCTGGCTTACCCACAGAAATCTCAGTATTCAGAAGGACCAAGTTAGATGTCAGAGCATAAAGCTGAGAATACGGGGCAATGTTTTGCTGTGTCAGGGGTGCAGAGTAGAAGTTTCTGCTGCTGCAACAGAAAACCATGCTTGCTTGGGGAACTCTCAAATGGCTGGGCAAGGTAAAGATCTGCTTGCTTTGCTCTCTTCTCCATTACAAGAGATGTGCTTTATTTTATCCTCTGTTTCATTTCACATCACAGAATAATGTAATGGTTTGTGTTGAGAGGGACCTTAAAGACCATCTGCTTCCAAGCCCCCTGCACTGGGCAGCCCCATCTTCTGTTTGATAAAACCTTCTATTTATTTTCTGAAAGAAAATGAAAAAAGAAATCACTCTTCTTTCAGACAGATAAAAAATATCTATTATGTATTCATATCTTGGGGGGGATTCTTATGGTTGGAAATCTTTCAAATATTTTGTCTGAAAATAACATGTAAGCACTTAAGAAGAGCTTTATTTGATGTAGCAACACCTCTGATAGAAATCTTGCTTAAACTGTATCTTTTATTTGCAGCAGGTCTTGAAAAAAAAGAAGGAAAAGCAACAAAGGCAGTAATGCAAGGTAAAAAGAAAAGAAAAACATGTTGGTGTTATCTTTCTTAAAACACAATGGCACAGAAACAATAATCTCAAATTCAGAGAGCTGGATGACAGCAACCTTTAAATCCATTAGTTCACCAGTATTTTTTCAGAGTTCTACTGTGTTTGTCAGAGCAACAGGGAATTTCCATTGTAAAACTAGCTTTGTCCCAGTTCCACAAAACTACCACCCCAACAAAAAGCTTCAGGTAGATGGCTGCCAATTGCAGACAAAAGGTTCTGTGCTGGGACTTAGTGACCCACTGATCTTGCAAAAGGCTTCCTGCCCCTGTAGCCTGGACAGTAACTTCAGTAACTTCCACTGAAGTAAAGGGGCAGAGGCTCTCCAAAGTCAGCTCAGCTACCCTTCTTGTCCCAGATGAAACATCAACCCCATGAAAAGTCACAAAAGCCCACTGCAGAGAATCTCAAAAAAGTTTTGAGACCAGACCTTGTAGAAATTTTTCCCAAAAATCTTAGGATTGGTATGGATAAGGCATGAGTGGGAATGTCTGAATAGAAACACCAGAAGAAAGGCTGCAAGAATCAGGTGTGAATGGCATATAATTCAAAAGGACACAAAGTCTATATCCAGTGTCCCAAGTCAACAACAGCAGGAATACCAAGGAATGGTCTACACTAAGGTCAAAACAAAACTCAAGCTACTGAGTGAACACAAAAAGAGGATTGATGCCTTAAACCATCTAAAGATGTGTCTTTTCCTATTATATGCAGTTTTATTATTATTATTATTATTATTATTATTATTATTATTATTATTACCTTCAGCATTATATCTTGCATACTTGCTTCTTGTACACTTGTTAAATGCAATCCATTCTTTTTTAGGTCAGTAGGGTAAGAAGCAAAGTAATAAAAAGGGTGTATAAATGCCCAAAGCTTATCAGCTCAGGCTTCTTTTATGTGATTGAGGTGATTTTTGTACTTATTCATGCTCAAATTGGCAGCTAGAGTCCTGATGATGAACTTGCCAATAACCCCTATTATAAGGTGTAAGACATGTTTACTGATGTGGCTTTGGTCAGTCGAGCTATTATCCCTTCCTTTTCTCTAGTCTCTCAGCTTCAGCTTTACTCAGAATTACTCAAGCCAGCACAGACATCCTGCAGCAGCTGTCAGCTGCTTGGTAGTTGTCAGGGAAAATGTTGTAATTAGGTGGGCCTTGGCCTAGATTTCAGGCATTGTTAGGCTGGGTATCTTCACATTATTCTCTGTTGCCACACAAGTGCTTCTCCAGACTACAGTCTCCACTGCTTCCTCTCTTTTTGTTTTTTTTCTCATGCAACAATAAGGTGTATGGTTGCTGTAAGATTTATCCTTTCTCCAATATTCCACCATTAGCTGGGATTTTTATCTGCCAAACAATTTAACTGTGCCACAAAGAGCACAGACTGAGCAGTACAAACTATAGTTTCACATGGCTGGCATGGAGCAGGGTTTTCTATACCACAGGTTGTGATACCCAAGGAACTCAAAAGAGGGGAAAGCTGTTTCCCATGACAGCAGGCAACAGCAGCAGCAGCACTGCTCTCACCCCATGCCAGCACTACCTAGTCTCTCCAAATCAAAGGAATAAGAGCAACATGTAATGTCTGTCACAACTATTTCTGCAGCTACTTCCCAGTGCTGGCAGCAGCTAGTTCCTCTGATGCCCAGAAGTGACCACAAACACTTTCACACAGCAGTTCCCTCTGCTTCTCATTTCTGCACCCTATATTTGGAGCTGCTGCCAACACATCAATCACTCAAAGACAAACAAGACAAAAACAAAAACAAAAACAAAAAAAAACCGAACAAAAAAAAAAAACCTTTCTGGATGCTTTTTGAATAATACCATGTACTCATATTATTCACAGAATTTGCATCGGAACACACTTCCGAAAGTAGAGGGATTTAGTCCTGGTCAAAACTGGGACTTGCAGTCTATGAAAAACAGTATAAGAAGACTTGCAGAAAAATCTAGAGTGTTGTAGGCTGGATGTACTTAGCAATCAGTACATAACTTCATTGTTTCTAATAAAGGTTTTAGTGATTATTGCAGATTTGACCTCAAACCCCCACATCTGGAAATGGGCTGAAAGACTGTAGCAACAACTCAGTTCAGTGGTCTTTTATTAGTTGTAAAGCCAAACTACAGATAATATTTGTAACTGTTAGAAGATGAGAAAGAAGGCACTTAACCTTGACTCTATTTGTTTGGAAAATGTCATGAGCAAATATCAGATAGTTTCCAGCAAGTTAATGCCTGTTACTGAGAATGAATACTTAAAAGAGATGATAAAAAGGTATTTTTATTTTCTGATGATATCCAATAGAACTAAGAAAGGAGACTTGCCATCAGTTAAAGAAGACCATATCAGGCATGGGTGTTTCATGTTCTTTGTGTGTGTATGAAAGGCAAAAGGTGGGAACCATGAACTTTTTTCACATACTCTGTCAAGAAACAGTGTAGGTTCAAGATATATTTAAACACTTAGTGTCAACATGCATTTAAATGCATTTTCATTAGTTGATTATATTTTAAAAAATTTCCCATGTGAACATGTATTCTAACATTTCCTTTTTCTTTTATCTTTTTATTTTCGTTTCCTTTCCCTTCTCTTTCTCCAGATAAACCAAAGATGAAACAAGGAAGTAAGCTATAGTTTTACTTATTAAAGTTACATCTTCCAGAAGAGTTTGGGTAACTGCATTCTTAATAATGGAGGTGTACAACAGCCTTAATTTCTTACTGGTGGGCCTCTGAAAGTAAAGGCTTTATGTCATGCTTTAAGTAGCTTAGTTTGGCTGGAGCTCTGTCTTCAGCTGTCTTCTTTAGTTTAGACACTATTGCACTGAACATGAAACCTCGTGGGAATTTTTCATTACACACAAGCACAGAAGAAAAACTTTTTCGGTCCTCCCACTGAATTTTATTTCTCTTTGCAGTCTTCTGTGATTAACTTAATATTTAAAAATCGGAACTATTTTTTTATGTGGACTATGAATATATCTGAATATGTCCACCAAATATGCCTACAGATTTCTGCAGTAAATTTATGTATTTTCTCATTTTGAAAATAAGAGCCTGAATAATAAGTTGCTGAGTACAAAACATGAAGATCAAAGCAGGAAAGCAGGAAGAGACAGCTTCATTTCAATAAAATTGCATTTTTGACCTTGTTCAACAGATTTCTTTCCCAAGTCTTCTCTTTTAAAAATTATATTGTATAGAAGTATCTAGTATTGCCTTTTTAGAAACACAATGTAGAAGGAGAAAAATAATGAAAAATTTATCTCTTTACATGAGTCCCAACAGAAGTCTCTCAATGTCAACAGCAAATTAGGTTTTTCCACTTGACAGCTATTTCTACCATAAACAAAAAGTTATTATTTATGGATTCCTTCAATTCAGGCTCCCCAGCACTTCAGTTTGTCTTAGAGACAAATACTAAGCAATGAACAAGAAACTTTATTGATATAATAATAAATTACCATTGGGCACAGTCTCTGCTTTTATAATAAAAGAGACAATTTGTGAACTGTGTGTCATTAAGGCAGCAAACAATTACCACTAAAACTACTTACTGTAGCTTACACAATTTTCATATCTGTCTAGCAAACACAACCTCTATTTCCTAAACCCAAATTCCTCCTCATCAGGAGTCTTGACTTCTTGTCCTATGTGTAGAAACCAAGAGGTTATCCTAACAGTTTTGTTTAGTATCTCCTGGCACTGAATTGCTGCTGAGTGTTTCAATAGAAGGAATTTTTGATTCATATGTGATGCAATAAATAATTTTTTAGTTTTTCCTGAAAACGCCTATTAGCATTTCTCAGATGACATGTATAAAACAGTTTAACCAGCAGATAGGTGATTAAATTACTTAAAATGCAGGAAGTCAAAATCCAAGTCTCTGATCTTTTTGAATTGACCGTTTTGGGACAGTCTTGCCTGCCTTTTTAATTTTGTGGTAGAAAGCTTTGGAGACCTTTCATCAGCCCAGAATAATGATCTCACATTTCATCTGAAACTGAACTCCTTTCTGTTTTCTATCAGATGCAATTAATTTCTTATGCTTTTTTCAGGGGACTACCCTTCCTTGAGGAAGGCTGGTGTGGCCTAACCATCTTTTCTGCCAGTCTATAGGCAGAATGAAAGCCGCTCTTCACTCACCTATTTGTCACTGCTGTGTCGCTCGCTCACTTTGATGAGCATCTGGCCTTTAGAAAAGAATAGATCCAATAAGAAGACCCTTGGCCTTGCTCAGCAAGAATGGGCAATCCCATATGAGGGAAGTAGGTCGCAGTCAGCTCCAATAAGTCAAATTTGGCAAAGCATCAGTTTTGACCTTTCTGGTTAAGAACACTGAAAAACTGTCCTTGTCTCATACTAAGCTGAAGTTTGCAAACTTTATAATTAAATCTACAATAGTTAATTGACAAAACACATTTTGTGGACTAAACTTTCTGAATGATACCTGGTGAATTTTGTACAAATCTTCCAATAACTCAATTTTAACCATGTCTTCCAATGTATACTTTTAGTCTTTCCATAATCTATATACTTCATTCTGTCCTCTGGTTAAATCTCATTGATTCACTCAGTTGTGGCTTTTTTATTGGTGTCACTTTATTGGTGTGACTGATTTTTTTACAGATCCTGGAAAAGAGAAAGAATTGAAATCTCCAGCTGCCACAAAAGATAAAGGTAATATGGCAAGATGAATTTGTATATAACTCTAAGATCTATGTGCATACAAAAAGAAAACTTTGAATGCATTGCCATTTTGATTTTTAAAGTATGATTTATTTAGAAATTTATAACCATAATACTATTTCAGTAAATTTACAATAAAAACTTACCTGAATTAGAAGTGCAAAGAGAGCACTGGTTATATTAGTTATGAACATTTAGAAGGCTAACTCAGAATTTAGAAACACTTGTTAACATTTATTATGAGCTGCAAAGTGCAATAAATTTTGAGTGATATTTGTTCTTTCATCAAATTTAAGAAAATTTGTTGTTTCATTTGTGAGCATGCTAAAACTGATGAAAATTAATTTTGTAATAAACATTTAATTGATATCTTGTGTCAGTTGGAAACCAGCAATCATTCAATCAATCATTTTCCAAGAAGTATTAAATGTTAACCATTTAACACTCTAGCTTGAAGATTAATAAATTATTTTTACAGAACATGCTAAAGAAAAGGAGGGGAAGAATCCTACATCTTTAAAAGAAAAAGGTAAGAATACATAACAAAGTATAAGACTTGCTAAAACCACACAAAGTAGAATGAAGATGCTAATTTTTTAAAAAATTATTAGTCTTTCTCATTATAAATCTTAACCTATCAAAGTTAAATTTGTTAAAATATTCTACAGGATCTACAGCATTAAAAGGTTGGGGGGGAATACACTGAGACAATTAAAGTTCAGAGTTCTCAGAATTAATTACATCAGTATCATAAACCACTCTGTGGAATAGCTAAGTACCTAGCAAAGAAGGTCTGAACACTTACAAGTCTTTAACAGGGCCATTTAAGAAAATCTGAACCGAATCATTTCACAAATGTGTGAACAAAATAGGAAGAAAGTAAGGTTTATGAGCATGAGTGGGAAATATGCTTTCTGTTCTCTGTAAAAGTTATAGCTAAAAACCCAGAGATTCATCCAGTCAACCATCTGCAACATGACAGCGGGTCTAAATCTTTCTTATATTCATGGTTTTGGGGTTTTTTTTTTGGCAATTTGATCAGAGTAGGTTGTTACCTCAGTTAAATTTTCTTTCATCAATTGTTTTATTGGGTGTTTTTTACACATTTTATTTCTTCCCTCCTTTCAAGAAATAACCTTATTTGGAAGAAGTTACTTGTGAATAAGTCTTATTCGACATCTTCCAAATAAAATGATCTACCGATATATAGTGAAGATAATATTTATTCTAAGTTATAGTCTATAATTATGTCTATAGCTATATATGGATATATTGCAGGTCTGCAATATATAGACTTTAGTCTAAACTATTTCAAGTTACAGTCATTCTATGCAATTTCAAAGAACGAACTGAATGAAGAGATCAATTCAAGCAGTATTGAAAGATGACAAAAACATATACAACAAAGGAGGAATAATTTATTGCTAGACATATTTTCAAAATCCTAGAAGCTATTTTCATTAATTCACTTCTTTGTTCAAAAATCTAAATTAAATTATGGCCATCTGCAAATTCTATGATGCATATATTGTTGCTCTGTGTGTGTTCTACTCCTAATGTACATGTGCCCCATTTACACAAGCTTAGTTATCTGAACTAGAACTGTATATCCAAACTCTATGGGGTCCTGTGGCCCTCTCCAAAGACTGATTATAATCTGTGTCTTCCTGATGATGTTGTGCTGGAAAATTAAAAGAAGCACTTGAGTGACAACTCTGCCCCCTCTATCCCTGCATGGAGCAAGTATATTCAGCCTGCTGCTCCTTTCAAAGGATTACAGGGAGACAGCGAGAGGAGAAAAAAAAGAGAGAAGACTCAAAACTTTTTTCTCTTTGATAAGAGTTTCTTTAGAGCAAATAGATAGTGGTTTGCCAGCACTGAAAAAGTTTCCATTGTGTGTTCTTTGTTGAGAGTGGACACAGCACTGCTTTTTGTCTCCTATGCTCATGTTTAACTTATCAACAATTTCAATTACTAAGTTATTAGTAATTAGTATTTACAGGTCCTTCTAACATGACAAAGGTGGCTAGACTTTCTCCGCACAACCTTCAGAATAAAGCAGGTAGGAATTTCTTTTAAACATCAATACAACTGAAAACTTGCTGCTGAACATATCTGTAAAGACACCCCAGGCTCCTGACCCCCTGCAGTAGCACTGATATCCAGCCCAGCTGAGCCTGTCCCTCAGATCCTGAGAGCTCTTGCTGATGCAGCCATCACTGTTTCCCACAATAGGCATCAAACTGGCAAAATTCTGTGCCTGTGCCTAAAAACAAAGATGCTGATTAGTGAGCTATAGAGCTCAGTTCAAAATATATCAGCATCAAAGACTATAGGGACAACTTATAAGCTCTCACAAATCTCTGCCGGGAGAAACTTCTAGTTGTGTATTTTTTTATCGCATTATGGATTACTCTGCTGTATATATATATATATATATTGCATTATTTGTCCCCATTTCAGTCATCATATCTGCCCAAACTGTGGTTCATAAATTAATCAAAGCCTATTTACATGCCATTTCTTCCCCTCTCCATCACCTCTTCAAGCCTCATGAGATAGCCTCTGTAAATGTCATTGGCCAGGTCACTGGGGACTTGTTTTTACTGTTTGTGACTTGGTGTTTTGCAATTTTTTTCTTAAAGTGGATCTTTCTGGAAAATACAAATATATCAAAGGACACAGGAAAGCAAGGATTTTTAAGACTGAATATACTTCTTATTTATGTATCTTGGGAGTTTGTTGCTATTCATGTAAACTAAATAAAGGAACACGTCCAGGTGAAGTGTTAAATGCTCATGGTGATTAATGTGTGTCTGGCACCTTATGCAATAAAATAGGTGTCATCACACTTCATTCCCTTTGAAGGATAGGCTAAGTTTGAATGACAAGGATGATGTCCAGACCAAAAACTTTATTCCAAAGCAAGCTATTTTTCGCAAACTGAAGAATAGTGGTTTTATTTAAAGCAGAAAAAGGAGAAATAAATCCCTGAATTTGGGGTTGTTTCTGGGATACTCCATAGATCATAACCCTACAAAGTTACTTTATCAATTTTATGAGGTGAATAAAATGTCTTCAGTCTTGGAGCCTAATTTTATTGAGAATAGTTAAAGAGAGCACTGGAATAATATGTTTTCCACTTCTTAGTGATAAAGGACATCTCAAGACACTGTCTGAATTTGTAGCTGGCTTTTCAGCTCTTCCCTGCAGTAAAGAAGAGTAAAGAAGCCCATTTGTACTCACAAATATATAAACTGATTTTCTGTTGGTGTAAGCATATTTGTAAGCATAACTTGAGGCCAATGAAACTCTAAGTTATAATTTGCCTCGTGGTTTTTGGGTAAGTATCTTACAGAGCTAACCAGAGTAAAAATTCATTCATCCAGAGGTTGTAACAGTGGCACTAAAAGTTCATAATATTTCATATATAACTCCTCAATGGATTTTTGTAAGATATTTGCATTGTGCTGAGGTATTGACATAATTTATCCTGTATAAATAACATAAATTCCTTCTCATCCTGTGTTCCATGATTTATTTTCAAAACAAATTCTTTTTTCTTCTTTGCATTTGACATGTTTTGGGATGTCCTTGAATATTTGCTTATGGCAGCTATGTGTGGGTAATAAACCTATTTGTTTTTACACACAGGTTGATAGGGGAAATAAGTCAGTAGTGTATATTTCTTTCTTGCCATTATGTTATAGTATACTGTCATTAAAGAAACAAATGAGATGATTTGTACTTGCTATGCAATACTTACATTTTCTTTAAAGCAAAAGTAGCATGAAATAGTATCTTACCTGTGGCAATTTTTTTCTTAACTTGTAACATAATTTATTCCCTTAAAAATGGAGTTATATTGTGAGAAGTAGCAGTTCACATTTCTGCCTATTTCCATTTCTTTATCTGTCATCATTGTCATTTGCATGAGAACTATATCTTTGTCTTGAGGATATCACACACTGCTGCTGCTTCATCATTCTATACCATCTTCCTAACCTGACCCAGCTTCACCCCTGAAGCAGAATGTGGAAAGGAAGCATTGAGCCAGCTTTATATTGTTTTTTCTCTTCTGGGACCAGAAATAAAGTGGTCAGTTGAGAGCAGAAATTTGAAAAGTCATCAGTGAGTAGCTGTTTAAACTTCTGAAAATGAAAACCTGCTTCCTGGAAGAAAAGCAGATCTGGTGATCTCGGTGTCCTTGGCTCAATGGGTGGGAAACGGTGCGCCATGTAAAGTGTCCTGCACTGAAGAGTTGCATCCAAAAGTAGTAAGACTCAAAAGTACTGAACCTTCTTTAGGAGCTGCATATTATAGGAAATCTGAGGGAGATCTGCTACATGGATGGCAAAAAAAACAGCATGAGCATATGGCACAAAACCCACAAGACCAAAGATTTGTGGCTGTGGCTGCAAGAGTGGCTGCTGATCACTGAGATCACCAGTGCCCAGAGTAAAGTGGTCAAATGGGGCAGCTGTTCCCTCAAGACTTTTAATATAGTCAACACAGAGGCTACCTCAAAGTATTTCAGGCTTCACAATGGAAGTTTTCTCTCAGTCCCATGAAGAAGAGTCCACCTGCTGCTGTGAAGATCAGGCTCCTAATTTCATAATCTATCCCATTATCTATCCATAATCTATCCATGGTTTATCCAACAGCTTCAGCCACCCTGAAAGGGATTTTTTTCTTTCACAATTCACACTTAAATCCAGATGGATAAGTGGGATCACTTCCTGGTACCATGGCAGCCAGGAGGATGTTCAGGGTTAAAATTATTTTGTAAAGCATCTTCTTTGAGCTTTTTCTGAGGACTTGGTTTTACTGAAGATTTACTTTCATTTGGAATAAATTACATGCTTTTTTCCTATATGCTTAGATGCTGTATCCTGTCAGATGGAATGCAGCTGGGTCTATTTAGCATTCTTCAGGCTGTGATATTCTCTCATTCAAACCGCCTACATTCAAAATCCTATCAAATTATTTCTTCACTTTGGAAAAAACTATTTTCTCCTAATATCCCTGATAAAAACACTTAAGATGTCAAGAGACTGTTGCTTGAAAAAATATTTAAACATTAGTTATTTACATAATATAGTGTATGCTTTTCCTGTGCTTGCTGACCCTGAATGCATATTCCTCCTGGAAGGACTGAGGCAAAAGATATATTCTTCAGACAGAGTAAGCAAAAATTGTCTTAATGAAGTTTTGGATAAGACCCAAAGAATTCCTAATCCTGTGTCATTGCCTGCATTTCCTCTTTTGAATTTTTCTCTTCTATGTGGTCTCAACAGACAGTTACCAAAAGCAATTTCTATTCTTGCTTTTTCTACTAACGTTACTGCACCTTAAAAATATCAGTCTCTAGAGAGGATATAAAAAGAGGTCAAGATTGCATTTATTTGTGTTCACAATTTTAGTCTTGGTTTTAAAATATTTCTTGACTTTTCTTTTAAATATAGAAGAGTACTCTTGTCTTCTAAGTATCAGAAACATAATTTTCTTCCTACAGATTCCCTGAAAGGAAAAAATCCCAAGAATCCAGAGAGCATAAGAGAAAAAGGTAAGTGAAGAAGTTAAGATATCCAGACCTGAATATCAGAACAATTATTCAGTCTAGAAAGATTTCTTGAGTAGGTATATAGAAGTGTGGAAAACCAAAGCCATCTTGGTTCCTGTTTAGATTATTTTAGCCATTATATTGTTTTCAATAATATTTGTGCTGTACAGATCCCAGTAGGATCCCTAGAATTCACCTGGGCTTCTTTTAAATGTGGATATTTGAATTTACATTTTGGAGGAAACACTATATTTTGGTTTTATTCCAGTTTTGGATGTTAGTCTGTCAAAAACGAGTTGTCTGAATCCCATAGTGAGAACATTACTGAAAGGAACTAGACTAATCTGCTTCATGTGGCTACAGCTCAGGGATGTGGGTGTCTGAGAATGAAACTGCATGAGGCTACTGTCACATCCAGGTGTTTGAAGGTGACTGATATGACAAGATTTTTCCTTAATTTGTTGACAATGTGGGCACATACATCTCTGTCTATAGTCATTTCAGCTGCAAGACCACTGCTAATTGATCACACAGGTGTTGCCTGATAGCATCTATTTGGAGCAAAGCCTATTTGCTGTAACGTGATGTGTATCAAACACTCTCTTTCTGGAGAGTACTGAAACAGTTGAAAAATTTAAACAAAAAAGCAAAGGCTATCAGTACTGTGCCTGGCCCTTGAGCTGGAACAGCACAACTGAAGTCCAGATTGTTACAAAGTTCCATTTTTTGGAAGCTGGAGATATTCAATGCAGTCCAGATTACAGCTGCTGAATAGATATAGAACAAAATGGTGCACTTCTGCAAGGAATGAAGCCAGGTGTCCCTTGTGGCTGAGAATTCTCCTCTATTCCATCGCTGTCAGTCCCTGTGTCTCACCTAAGCACCAAAAGAAGATCATAGTTTTCCTTTATTTGTGCTTAGCTAACTCCTGAATTTTTGGGGGGCTTTTGGGGGATTTCTTTGTTTGGTTAGTTTGGTTTTTTTTTGTCCTTGAGTTCTGCCTTGTCAGTTACTAGACAGGGAGAACTAGAATATCAGGGTTTTTTTCTCATCTCCTTTAATACTTTGTTATATACTGAGGAAAAAAAAAATTAAAGATACAATTAAGTCCCTGGACTATTCATTTTGACATAAAATAGATGAATGTACATTTGAAGGATGAGCACTGTTCTTCTTTTATAGCCAGTGTGCCTGTCATTTTAAAAGGCTTCCTTCACACAGGAAGTGAAATTCTGTTCACAGGCAATACCCATATGGCCACTTCAATATTAAAAGAGTATTGGAGCCCTGAATGAGTAACAGGTCCTTTTGTCACTCTTGAATAAAAAAACTCCCATTTAGCTTTGCCAGCAGCCTCTGGCTTTCAAGAGCAGTATTCCTAATATTTCAATTGTATCAATGTGGATTAATTTTTATTTGGGTTCAGCAAAAGAAAAAATCATTGATGCCAACTGCTCTGTAGAATTTCTTTCTTCTTTTTAAGTAATTCATTGCCTGCATGAGAGAGGGCTCCACAGTTTCCTTAAAATTCAGAGAAACTAATGACATTTTGAAGGCTTATTATTTTGCATATCCAAAACTAGAAATGGATGACCTTGTTTTTTTTGTCCTGTTCTTTATTTCCATGTTGTTAAATCTGTTTAATTATCACATCCCTTTTGCTCTCCACATATCAAATTGTTTGACTTGCTTTCTATTCAAGTGTCATCTTAGTTCCCTAACCTGACTTGTGATAAATGTTAAATGTTTCTTTCTAGAGAGTGGAAAAAGAAAAGATGTGAAGCCTCCAACAGCCTTAAAGGAAAAAGGTAATGTCTTATAATTATGTGGCTGAAAAATAACAAGTGTTCTGCTGGTATCTCAGTGCAGTTTTGAAATATTTTGAATTACAGTCTGCTGGTGAAAAGGGACCAAACCTAGATTCTTCTCATTTCAAAGATTTGATATATTGAAAGGAGCAGTGTCTGACATGATTCAGAAATAATAAAGTTGTGACACTTCTTATTGTGGTGTCCTTTAACTGCTGTCTGACCTGCACAGTCAATATTGCAGTGGGAGTGATAGTCTGTTCTGAGTGAATTAGTAACAGAGCTGCTACTGAATGCACATGACAGGCTGCACAGAAATGAGTGCATGGTTTGACCTGCAGAAACTTTGCCAGCAAATTTAGAGGTAATTGTTTTTTGTTTGCGTTCAGGTTTAGTTTGTGCCTCTTATTGAATTAAATGAAAATTCTAATTCTTAACACATCTCTTTTATGCCTTTGGCTGATCTGGTGCTATGCACATTTGTTACAGTACCAATGTACGTATGTTAATGTTGCTAATTTTATGCATGCTTATGTTGCTAATTTTCTCCTTTCATTTTGGTGTTTGATTACTTTTTCAGACTCTTCAAAACGAAAAGAAATCAAGGCTTCAACTAATCCTAAGGAAAAAGGTAACAATCCCAAGTTGAACTGAGCCTTAACATAAGTTTCAGTTGAGAAAATAAATTCATTGTGCCAGGAGTCACAAATTAAATCCTAGTTTCTTTGATTTGCTATTTCTAAATATCCTTCAATGTCATCCTTTGCTGCTGAACATTCTTTTTACCTGATTGAACAAATGACAGGTGCACATGAGGCTATACAAGCAAGTCATAGCTTTGGTATTTTATAGACTCTAAAGTCAAAAGGAACTAGTTTCTTTTTTCTTGATTTTATCTCATTCTTTCTATTTAAATTAGTCATTTCAGATTGCATTTTACTTCTTCTGTATATTGTTTGATTGCACTTTTCTCTCTCTTCTTATATTGAAATATCAGCACTAGTCATCAAATATAAATCAATTACAATTTATAATACATCTCTAACACTAGGCATATTTGGGCACTGTAATTATAGTTAACCAGCTATGCTCAGGTTTATTTATTCATATTAAACAAATGCAAACAAAACTTAGTTTACTTTTATCCTATTTGCATATGGATTAAATGGCACTTTTTCATTATAAAACAGCTGCTCAAGTTAAATGTGTAAATAATTTAACATGGATAAAAATATATAATATCTTGTTAGCTAATAACAGTTTGAGTCATGGAAATGTAATAGTCTATCTTAAAATCATCAAGTCAGTTTTGAAAAGTGTTTCAGATAATTGAATAATACTGCTTCCTATCTTTAGAGTTTTCCTAAGGAATAGTAGAAATATTGAGACAATATTTTCTCTGAGAAAGTTATGAAAGACAACATTTACAAGTTTTTAAGTGCAGCTATTTCACCTAGTGTATAGCAGAATAGCAGAAATCAGCTATTTCTTTGCATAGTTGTATCATTTTGAATCAAAGTAAAGGCTTAAGTGCTACCAGAAAAAAGTGCTATTGAGAGTAGCCATGTCAAGAAGGACTTGGGGGTGCTGGTGAATGAGAAGCTGGACATGAGCCATCAATATGCTCTTGCAGACAAGAGAACCAGTTGTATCCTGGTCTGCATCCAAAGCAGTGTGGCCAGTGGGTCACAGGAGGTAATTCTTTCCCTCTGCTCTGCTCTGGTGAGACCCCACCTGCAGTGCTGCATCCAACTCTCAGGTCCCCAGCACAGGAAAAACATGGACCTGTTGAAATAAATCCAGAGGAAGCCACCAAGATAATTAGAGGGATAGAGCACCTCTCCTGTGAGGAAAAGCTGAATAAATTTGGTTTCTTCATCCTGGAGCAGAGAAGACTTTGGTGTGACCCAGTTGTGGCCTCCAAGTACCTAGCAGGAGTCTTCGAAGGAATGAGACTATTTACAAGAACATAGAGTGACAGGACAAGGGGGGATGGCTTCAAACTGAAAGAGAGTAGTTTTAGATTAGATATGGGGAGAATTTTTTTACTGTGAGGTTGGTGAATAGGTTGCCTAGAGAAGTTGTGGATCCACCCCTGGAAGTGTTCAAGGCCAGGTCAAATGGGCCTCTTATTTATGTGGCCTAGTTGAAGATGTCCCTGCTGCCATGGGAGAGGGGTTGGAACTAGGTTATCTTTAAAGTTCCTTCCAACCCAAACCTTTTTATATTTCTATGAAAATGAATTAGGGCTTAAATAGTCTGAAACTCCTTTTAGTAGTCAAAGTAGATGAACCTAAATTGTCAGTTCAAGGTCCAAGGCATTAGAAAAATAGTGACACATTATTGTGCCATTCCATTTAGTTTACTTTAGCCAACAGGGAGCAATAACCCTCCACAGAAAGAGTTGGGAGGTATTGAAAGAAGACATCCAGAGAAGAGGCGGAGTCATCTTTCCTGGAAGTATTAAAAAATTTATGGATATGGCATTTGAGGACACGGTTTAGCAGTAAAAAATGGTAATGGTACTAGACTACACTTGGACTTGATCTTAAAGGTCTTTTACAACATTAATTTTTTGATTTTATGTGTGGGCATATTTTCATATATTGATTATTGGTTTAATAGAATTTGGTTTATTATTTTAAGCTTGAGGCAAGAAAGGCCTATGGTCTTCCTGTTCTTGAAAAAATGTCCATGAAACATAGGTTAATTAACAGCTAATTAGACCCTTAAGCATTTGACTCTTGACCTTATAATTGAGTTTCTTCTCTAATTCTTCTCATAAATATTTCTGGTTGGAAGATTGATTAATTTAAGTGATAATGAGAATAAAATTCTATTTACTTCAAAAGATCAGGAATTGTAAAGAAGAAATACATGTCTGTAACAGTGTTTTAATTGCAATGCTAATGAATTAGCTTCAGTGAAGTGTAAAACACCCACTCAATTATGCAAAGAATAAGTATTTAAAAAGGACTTCATTTACTCAGTTTGATCAGACAGTGAAAAAACTGGTGAATAACAGCTCCTGTCAGATTCCAAAACTGAATTATTTCAAGAAAGGACATGTTTAATTAAACACTGTAGACTTCCACTGGCTGCACATGAAGCTCAGTATATTTGAAAAGGAAAGTTACTACCCAGAAGTTATTAACTATACTATCTCTCTTTTCTTCAAGTCCTCTTCCTGTAGTAGTAGATAGAACATATGCAAGATTTTTCTTATGGCTTAGCAGTAGAAATTACGAGCTATGTTCAAAAATGAACTTTCATATCAGGCAGATTTTTTCTACATGGCCTAACTTTTTGACCTATAGATTAAAACACCATAAGAAACATAAAAATTGATGTTGTTGTGTTGCCTTACAGTCTTATAGTTTCCTGCTTTTCAAAACACAAGAATGAAGATTTGAATGTTTAGTGTGAATTATGCTGAGTTTAACTCTGTTGAAGTTTAAGGTCACATTAGAGACGCCTATGATTGCTCTGTTAAAGTGTGGGTGAAGTCTGAAGTACAATTGATTGGCTTTATACATACAGCAGGATTTTGGATGAGCAATGGACTCATAGCCCTGGGTTTGCACGGCCTTTACCAGCTTCCCAAGTGAGATGAGCCCCACCCACTTCACATATTTCTACTGGATTGCATACAACCTTGTATGTCATCTGTGGGTGTACTTAATGCCTTGCACAACTCACTGAGAACAAATGATATCTCACACCTGAAATGGCATTTCTCTTTGATTCTAGCTGACTCTATAAGAACTTAAAATATTTGGATTAGATTCTATCAGACACAAAATTGGTCCAACTGCTTCCTAAGTCTTGTGTATCTTAGGTCTGCCCAGTGAGCAGGACTACAGATCCTTCAAGGCCCTGAAGCAGGACTGCAACAGAAAAGCTGAGTAGGAAAAAAATTGAGTAGGAAAGCTGAGCTTGAATGGGAATATCTCAGGTTGCATAGTCATACATAGTTACACCACTTTTATGTTAACAATAGGATTGAGTAATTTGCTAGTCATCAAAGGTAGTGATACAGCAAATCTTATACAATCTTCCTTTGGAGGCAGTTCAGCTCAGTGGCTGCAGGTTTTTAAAAGTTGTTTCTGTCTTTTCTGTTTCATGTGACAGATATGCTATTTCTTATCTTCTGGGATTCAAACAAGTACAACATTTCCAAAAGCAGATACAACTAACTCAAGTGACACTGAATATGCATGACAAGACATTGACATTTTGTCAGAAGAGTGTAACCCCAATGCATTAAGTGGCTTTAAGCATTCATGTGGGATGCTGTGCATCACTAACCCTCTCTTTCTTAACAATGATAAGTGACATGCCACATACATCAGGCAGACAGTTTGGGAAAAGCTTCTCTGGGGAAAAGTATTCCAGAAATTTTGTGGCCATTGCCCTGTAACCAAGTGTCAGCACGAGGTCACCTTTATGAGCACTTTTTTTTTTTAGCCAACTAACCATGCATGGGGTGCTTCCTCAGAGGACATCTCAGGTTAAACTAGCCATCCAAAAATGTCTTGAGAAATAGCAGTGTTTGGATTAGCACTTTCTACTTCTGTCAAAATCTGTCAAATCTAGTGTAAATTGCAGTAACAGAAGCGGCCTCAGTGTAACCCCTTTGTTAGGATAAATACATTTCTGCAATGTGAAAACTAAATTCACAGAAGTTCAATGTAGAATTATAATATAAAATAGAGAACTAATATGAAAGAACTAATAGAGAACTAAAATGTAAGGTAGATAGATTTGGTATACAAAAATCTCAACATCAGCCTGTTCAAATGACCCATCCATTACAGAGAATCATTGCTTCACACTGTCAGTAAGAAATACTTCAAGAAAATACCAGAGCTTTAAAAGTCAGATTAACATAATGACACATATATAACCAAGACTGAGCCATAACGGCAGATATAAAATTCCCATTTTGAGTCAGCATTTCTCTGTAAATATTCTTCAATAGATGCTAGAAAATAAGAAAGAAAAGAACAGTAGTAAAATACATAATGTGAATGAACACCAAATTAGAAAAGGGAGTTAAAATTTTAATTCCAAAAAGTAGGTTATGTAAAGTATGTTTTATGGCAAACTACAAAGCATGAAGTTGTCCTCATGACTTGATACTTGATTTTTTTTATTGCTTTTCCTTAAGGAAAATGTTCAAGTGGAATAATATTTGCCTGCGTAGGTATGTGGAAATACAATTCTGATGGTAAAAAGAGGTTTGTAAATGAAAGTATATCTACAGATACTTCAGGTATTTCCTGGAGTTAAGTACTGCTACCTGCTGGTACAACCAGAACTCCATAATAACATCCTGAAGAGTCCTCTGGATCACAAAATCACAGACTTATTTATGCTGGAAAAGGCATCCAAGAGTATTGCATCCAACCTTAGACAGAACACTTCATTCTCAACTAGACCATGGCACTAAGTGCTATTTCCAGGTTTTTTTTAACACCTCCAGGAATGGTGACTCCAACACTCTGGGAAGTCCATTCCTGTGCTTAGTAACCTTTCCTGTGAAGAATTTCTCCTGATGAACCTCCCCTGGTGCAGTTTGAGGCTATGTCCTCTTGTTCTGGCACTGGTTGCCTGGGAGAAGAGACCAAG